TTTCTGATTCCCTTAGCCATTGGCATGTTTTGATGACAACACTTGATATATAATATTGCTCTTCTACCTCATCCAGTCAAGGCAAAATCAAAATACTTTCTCTCCTCCTCCTATGTATAGAAAGAAGAGAGATAGATATTTGTTTCCTTTGTTTATGAGAGAGAATCAAAATAAGAATATTCAGTATTTTTATTTTCGTTGCTGTTGCCTATTGTTAAAGCCCTTACGTGGGCATATATATAGTAGTGGAACTTACGAATATAAGGAGCTCATATCATTAGACGAAGTTAGCGTTGGAGATATTTGGAGAGGACATTAATAGGAGGCATGTATACCTGGACGGTTTTAAGGATATACACGTGGAGGAATATAACACTATTTGGAAGCTTCGTTTATGGCACCATTAAATTAAAAATCTACGAGAATAAAATATCCATGAATAGCGGGGTGAATATTCTAACCACAAACGTGTCCTAAAATTATTTCATTGTCGGTTGCTAAAGCCCTACTACTCCCAAACGAATTGCCTGTTTGAGAGGCAAAAGAAAATGTCAGCAACTCCTCATTTTTCTCTCCTCCGTTGAATATTCGTCTTTTCTTAGCTCATTTGTTGAAAATTTTGGCATGGCTTCTGGAATAAACTGGAATAACAAAGAAACAGAGAGGATTTAATGGAATTAAAATTAACATTTCCTTCAGATAATGAGAAGCGATTGCAACATTTTACCAATATTATTTTGGTCCATCCACCGTGTATGGGCAAACTCATATAGTCAACGTAACGTTGTCCACAAAGCCATTAAAAATCCTAGGCCACTTGAGATTGGATCAAGGCCTTTGGTTTTCTTGTGGTCTCCTCTTGGGCTCTGTCAAATTATTTGTGCCTAGGCCCGATTATATGAGTCCATAAATTTGTTTGAGAACAAACTATTTTTGACTGATGACTCTATCCTAATTACTAACTAGCGAGTCTATTTTCCAATACTCTACAGTCTACAAGCACCATATACAATTCAGTTGACCCAAGACAAATAAAGAAGTTCTATTCATATTAATTCACCAACCCATAATACCCCTCCTTAAAAAAAAGTAATTCAGCTAACTAAATTGATTTTATAAGAATATATTTATTAAGAGAAATATTATATCTTGTTATCACACGAGTATGATATTGTCTATTTTAATTCTAAATTTGTATAAATTTATTTGTAGTTATTGTCTAAAAAAAATTTATATTAATAGAATATATACGTGCTTTATAAAATATTATTTGTTCTCTTGTTATAATGATGTGGAAACCTTTTTTTATATCCGATCACTAAAATCTATCTTTTAGATACTTTCTACCTGTGACCGAAAGTGAAGAGCGAAAGGAAAAAAAAAAAAGAAAAAAAAAGTCACAAGTTTGGTTGGAATTAGTTTTTTCAAACTAGAATAATTTGTCTGTGATAATTTATGAGTAAAAAAGAAGTGGTAATTAAGGCACCATGTTCAAGAAGTGAAATAAACAGTAGCAACTGTTGAGTTCACCAATCATATCAAATTCGTTAACCAATTGAGTTACTACTGTTGCAAACATCTTTAATTAGTGAAGGTGCATTTTCAAATGATTTAAGATCCAAAGAATCTCATCCTTATCCACACAACAATAAAAGAAAATCGTACGATAATGATAATCTTTTGATAGAACACTGTTTGCGTATCAAATTCTAACCTAACGAAATTGACAAGACCGTAGGGTGTCTAGGAGATGTGCGCATGCGAACAGCAACTTGTTTTTTTTATCTTATAAGTCGCCTCATAATGTTGCATTATATAAGAACCTTATGACAGGTTGGAACGTGTTAATTAGTCGGGTAGAGGAGATATAACTTGCTCTCAAACACATGATGCACGGGTGATTAATATATATACATCAGTGAAGGGGACAATATATATATAGGCATTCATTACTAGGCCTGGTTCACTTTTCTAAGCTCTTTCGTTCATGGATTAATGATTTGAAGTTAACAAATAATGATCTATTGAGGAAGGTTGTGTTTAGGGAAAGAGATTAGATAAAATATAGTTCAAATTAATATCTAATATTTGAGACTACATGAAATAATATTGCTTCCAAAGAAAGATATCATATTATATGGGAAAAAACGTATATTATCTTCATAATTTCCAAGCAACTTTTTTTTCTTGCTTTTCTAATGAGGAACTAGGAGTGGACCACAGTTTTACCTCCCTCAAGTAAGTGCAATCAATTTTTTTCTTTAAAAAAAAAAGGATATTGATGAAGGAAATGTGGACGAAGATTAACATTTTACATTGACTGAATAATTAACACCCAATATTTGAGAATTTTGTTGTAGGGATCAATACGTTAATGTTGTTTATTAAGACCTCGAGGTAGAGGCATATTCCAAAAATGCTTCTTAAATCCGGAGAAATAAATAACATTAATTTTTGGTTCCATGCTTTGAAAAATTTTGTCGTAGGGATCAATATTGCTTCTTAAATCAAAAAAGCCGGTCCTTAAACTGCAATAAATTTATTTGGAGAGAAATGTCTACCAAACAAAATTGTGAATAACCTCCAAAGAATTCAAAGCTGTAACTTGAGAAGGTCAAAGTTTTCATCTGGATTTTTAACTATTGTGTCAAACCACGTTTCCATTGATGCAAAACCTAACAATTCGACTGCATGGTGAGTCATTTTGAGCTTAATTAATTTGGCCCCTCGATTTTGATTTTTTTGTTTCCTATTGCACTTAAAGCAACTTATTTTGCGTATCAAAACCCTTCTTCACGAATCACGCCTTGAGGATATGAATGGGCACTTCTTAACTAATTATTTGAGTTCACAACGTTATTTATAATCATATTGTTTATTACTTTTTGAGACACCTATAAAAGCAATACAAATCACCATTATCCTTTTCGCATCTTTCATTATTACAATAATACTATAATTTTGGGAATAGCTTAGTTCACATCATACTATTTCAAAGCAAATGTGTTAAATTTAACAGAATGTTAGCTCTTTTTAAAATTAATATAAATCTTCTGTTGTAAACCTTATCTTTGAACAGTTAAATGGACACCTAAACCGGTGAATGTGGTTGGGGTCCTTTGCATGAACAAAATTGATGTAGTCACGTCCAATGGGATATCAAATTTTCCTTTTTACGTACAACTAAGTAATAGTAGTGACTGCGTCGTGACAAAAGTCTATGATAACGTGTCAAGATATCGACATCTTCATCATCATTGAACGGTCATGAGGGGAATCCATACCTTTAACTCACACAAATCATTTTTTTTAAATAAATTTATCCGATCAACTCTTATATATTAATATGAATAATTATTTTTATATAAAACATTTTTTAAAAAATCTGTAGAATTCTTTTTTACCTTCATATAAAAGTTTATTTTATTTATTATAATTATTTATAAATTGAATATTATTATTTTAAAATAAATTATCAATAAATAAACAAAAAAAATTTATCATATTAATTATTTACCATAAGTTTAAATATAATTTATATATTTAAACATAATATATGTATATGCATTGTATTTACAAATTACCATATATATATATACTTTATTATAAATTTTAGTTATATA